ACACGATTTCTCACGACAATATTGGTATCAGTCTACTTATAAGGGTCCCAGAGTAGTGGCTTCAGCCTGTTCGTGCAATCCAGGGCATCAAAAGACTTTCGCACATTGCACTATTTAACGTCACCGCATAGTTATTTGGAATTTTTCACCACTTCTGCGTCGCAGATTCCCCGAAGGTTCCATGTCCCCTTGCCGTCCCGAGGTCAATTGCACACCTTATGACCTGTATTTTCTACCAGAATCTTACAAAATTTATCTGAGAAAGGTGTAAATTTTCAGGTGGTTTAGTATTACTCAGAGATAACGATAAACTCAGTCTTAGCACTTGTGAATTTCCAGAAGGGTACAAACGTAGTGACCCAAAATTGACAGCCAGATAATCAGATATTCCGATTGACCTTCAACCTTTGACCGAGAGAATAGTACTTAGTCTGCATTCAAGTGGGGATTTGAAAATTCGTTTAAAATTTTGCATCCATTGGTCTTTCACCCATACACCGCCACCACCTGGCTTTGTTTCTGCGTTCCTCGTGGGGTGCCTAAGATGACGACTCATTTTAGTGGTAACTTGATCAAGAATTCCGACCTGTCTGTCTATCTGATTCATTGGATGGCGGTTGGTATCCATCGCAAAGCTTCACTGGTGTATCATCCTACCAGCATCATGCTCAGACGACACCCACAAGATGCTCTTTCTGGTGACGATAACTCAGATAATCTCATTGGGAGACCCATGGTGCAGAAAGCTCCACTACATCTTGACCAAGGGGTCTGGACGAAGTAGGTTGTATAGCTATTTTTTTCTAGAACCATCAGAATAAAGATCATAATCAAGGCATGGTGATGGTGTGGGATCAGCAGGATACACATTCCTGGCTGTAGGTTTAGCGCCGCTTAGTGCATTCGAACAACTGTCAGCAATTTGCTCATTCTGGGTGTATTCGCGCAGATCGAAAACTGTTCGGACGACCCATTTTGCTTTGCTCAACACAAATGCTCACCCGCTTATCGGTGCACTGACGACTTTTCCCCGACCGTTGACGAGACGTCTGCAATCCAGTTCCAAAGCTTGGCGAACATACCAACAGCCCATTATCGCATCCAAGCTACCCCTATTCTGCAATACTGTTATTCACCCCTGTCACCGCCAATTACGTGCTAGACCCCATCGGTCTATCTACGACCTCCCAGGCGTCACTGTGCTGACGACAGCTGTCTTATGGCCTGGCCACCGGCGGCTGCATGTCTACATCACACCAGCTGTTGAACCTGGCCTGTCTTTCCTCCGTAAAAACTCCTCGACCTTGTTGACTAACCAATCAACAGTCTGTTTTTGGGTGTGACCTTCGGCCGCGTCTGGCTCTCTTGGGAAATGTCAGCTGCCCTTTATTTCCTCTTGTGATCGATGGATACGATTGCGACTCCAGTATTTAGTGCGCGGTTACTCCCGGTCATGAGAGGTGTGAAAGTCTGTGGTTTGTTTTACCTGATGTTGTAACAATCTACTTAATCGTGTCGCGTTCAACAGAATGCCTCGGGTGTTCTGAGACACTAGGAATTTTTTGGAACGAAATTCTGATCTTGATTTGTACTCAATTAGAATTGAGTATACAGGGTTCACGCACAAAGAACAATAATCATTTCGACTCACCCAAAATCAAATTAGAGGTTGAAAGGTCGGTGTCCGCATAATTTTATCGAAACCGTCTCTTCAATACCGTGTCTACTGTGCTGACGGTAGATGCCGGAGTGAGACTAAGAAGGGCCTTTTCTTGCATTTTTCGGTTATCTAGTCATTTTCAGTTATCCTGGTAAGATGGTAGTTTGCTTGAGCTAGGCGTGCACATTGTTTATCTCTACCTAATTATTGAGTGAATCGGGGACTTTCACTCACATCACTCCCGTTGTTGTGCGGTTACTCTGGTGATCCCACACCAAGGAGGTTGAGCGCTTGACTCGAGCTCAATTGCGGGCGTGGTAACGGTAGTACTGACGAAGCTTGCGAGTAGTCTATAGTCTGGTGTCCAAGCTCCATCCCACATCTGACAGAAGGTGACGGTCATTACGGAAATCATGAAACCGCCTTGCAGTTTTTGTTTACTATTGCTTAACAGTTAATGAACGTCCAGGAAATTTCAAGAGGACGCTTGATAATGTTCACTTTTTAAAAACTCTTCGTGAATGAGATATTCACTTTTGTGTCTAATGACTTGTAAATGCATAGTTATTATTTGTTGACAAACTACTCAGCGAAGCGTCTTTTTCCTTTCCCTCTTGCCAGCAGTATTTGAGAAATGCAAGGTTGTTTACTTTTTTCCTCAAAATGGAATTCAGATATCCTCTTATGGTTCTGAGGATGTACATTTATTTTTGGAACTATTATTTTCATGGAGTCTGAGCCTTCGTTTCCTGGTTCACTCACACCTTTCCATCGATAAGCTGCACCTGACCGCTCCGTTATTGTGTCACTATGATCCATAGGTACTGACCTCCTTCAGTAGAAAGCGAGCATTTCCTCGGAGCCACTTATGAAACCACCGTGCCGCCTTATCGTAGACCAAACGAGTGAAATACTATTCTTTGTCTTTCGTACGGCAGATGTCGATCGATTTCACTTTGCCTGGCAAGTGAAATGGAGTTAAAGTCTTAGATGATAGTGAATCAAACACGTTACATCAGTGTTGGTGGAGTTCTGTAAGGCTGCAAGTAAATTCTGCCAAGCATATCACGCCCTCAGGTTTACAATGTCAAGGAATTTAAATTTGCACCCTTGCATGGCAATACTGTACGGAATGAAACAATTTTCATGGGTCCAGTACACGTTACATCACTTTTGCAGGTCACTTCGTCACCTATATTGTATACCTTTGGATTCAAGCTTTCGAATAGTTGACTTGATTGGCGCTGTGTCAGAGTGCGTTGTCGCACTTCTGGTCTGAATGGGGGGTTGGATAACGTACTACTGCTCATTGTGAACAGTATATGAATAATTTCGCACGGATGAATATTTTCCTGGTCGTGCACAGCGATTTTCCACCGGTTGATCGTACCCCTTATGCCAGATCCAATAATGGACACGCCCATGGTGACCATTACGGTTTTATTCTGCTTGATCCCAACCGATCGAAGCTGGAAAACAGAGTTAACATTTGTCGGCCATCAGCTGCCGCATGATAGTTGAGTACGCTGTGTGTACATTCACAGTAAGATGCAATAGCTACTTTGGAGTTTCATTCAATCTAGAGTTGTCGTAATGAAGAAGGGTAAAGCCGTTGGTCAGACAAAGGACATGCACCCTGTTGTTTCATGATGTGGGTAGAATATGTCTGAAAATCTGTCCCACAGATTTTGACCACAGTGGTTATCTTCCCCATCTGGCTGCTTCCTTGCGACCAGAAAGTCGAGCCGATCCCTTGACTTTCGTATTCTAATCGTCCTCCTCTCCATAGATGAGGTCATTTTAGATATGTTAACTATCATCCAAGAATGAGCTACGTGGATAATAGTACCCTCCTATCAAACTGGTCGTCACGTGATAATACTAGCACCCCAATCTCTCGCAGTCGGTGACTTTTGCTGGCCCGTGAGCAGCAATAATTACTCTGTTGTTCCACCATGTACATAATGATGAATACGGTACCATCGCCCATTTGCTTTGATTTTTTTGCTTTAAGTTAAGTTATCCCGTCGACTTTTGTTTCAGCTGCCTCAACAGGAATTTTAAATACCTACTGATGATTTAAATATTATTCATGACTTATTGACTTCTATCATAAATGCTTGAAGCATGTCGCGGAACGTTTAACTCAATGGAAGTCAGATAAAAAAACAGATATAGAAAATTCAGTTTACTCTCACAAAATCTAAATGATTTTTACTGCCACTTGGGGTAATAAATGCTAGTGTCTTGAGCTTGGTGCTGTGCTTCTATTTATTCTGAATAGAAAGGACACGTTGTTCCTCGTGGACCGCCTCGCGATCATCCTGAGAAGGTTCCGCAATCTTCAGGTTGAGAATCATTGCGTTTTACTTTTAGTGGAACCAGCTACTCCCAAATGGCTCGTTTCGGACTAAATTTAGGAAGACTAGAGGATGAAGAGAAGGTCCATAAATAACCTAAATGACAATTTAGGGGCAAAACGGATGGGAATTCTCAGTGGTCATAACAAGGAGGAAATAGTGCATGGTTAACTAACGCAGCAGTTGAGTTTGAGGGAAACCTAAGAAAGATTCTAAAAACGTAGGGCTTTTCTTATGAGTATGCTTAGGCGAAGCATGCTCCCAACAGTCACAGGAAAGCGAATCATCCATTCGCTTTTGGAGCAAGAACATCAGTGTGGTATCATTGGACATAACAGAAGGGCCAATTGAAAACACGCTTCTTTATTCTATGCGCTGACATCCTTAACCCTCATCTTCACGGTAATTGTGACGTCCCGAAATTTAGCACAGTGAGCTTACCGAGTAAGCCAAGACATTTGAAGTCGAAAACAGCTGGTAGACAAACGGATTACTGAAACCGCGCTAAAAGTAACCGCTGACTAGTGAAACCTAGTTAACAACTCAGGACGTGTCCATTGCCTCACGAAACAGAAAATAGATTGTCTTCAACGCAGAACAAGAGTTTTCACAGATTACTAGGGAACAAATTATCGAGGGAATATTTCCGGTAAATCTCAGACTGTTCAATACAAATGCTAATGTTGACGTAACCGTGACAAGAGTAAACAATCCATCGATCAAATAAATGGCTGCGCCGAGTGATAGAACAAGGCGACGTGCACTACAATCTCCATCGAGTTTTTGACCCGACTGATCAAGGTCATTTTTATGTACAGCGGTTAACTATTCAGCTTGCGAACGAAATTTAATCCGGTTGCATGACCCTAAAGAATTCGATTCCCCATTCACTAACATACTAGCTAAATGTCAATCGTGATAATTTTTTCCGTGAAGTCAGTTTCCCCACCAAAACTCCCCGTTGAACACCGCGTTTCCACTTGATGGTTCTCCTTTGGTGAATGGTCAATTTTGAGACGTTTGCACACAGACCATCGATCAGCTTCTTTTCAAAAAGCATAGCTGCTTTAGAATTACGACCAGCGTTGGATCACATGCTGAAAAAGAACGAAACGGACCAAGTGCAAAATAGTGAATGGAAGCTACTGCATCGGAAGCTTAAGGGTTGCGTCACATTGTTGTTGTAAAAAAGTGGGTGGTGAGAAACTACTAACTGCGTTGTGCACCGACCCTTAGTCCAATTCAAACGCTCAACCATGTGTTGGACTGCCCCAGAAAGCCTCATACTGAAAGAATTTCCGAGGGTCTTTTGCGTTCCTCTCACAAACGTTTTAGATTGAGCAACGATCCACTTCGTGATCTACTAAACCCGCAGATCAAATCTATCCTCCCCCAGCTTCATGTACCCAGTCTATCTCTCAGCACGAAATTTTTAAACACGTAGGGATATATCACATATATCGTATTCATAGTCATTTTGCAATGATTTAATCCGAACACATCTGCTGCTCTACTTATCCACAGGTCTGTCTACGCCACAGTTGTTTCTCTTATGCTACCCTTGATATAACTTTGAATTCGTATGTTCAAACAAGCAGGTAAGAGAAGATGAGGTCTGGTTTACAAACAACATTCCAGAGCTGCTACGGGACGAGTGAAAAAATCATTTTGATTCTGGTATTTTTCACAATTATCAAGGTCTTACACACCGTTCGTGTACATAGTACAAATATTAACTCCAAATAGCTGGGTACTTGTTTTGCATTCAATCTCACAGCTTTTGTATCGAGCGGTCTCTGTTTAAGGATACGTTGAGGAATACGTCATCACCACGTACCTACTAGAAATGACTAATGAAGTGCGATGGTATCTATACCCATTGACTGCATGGATAAGCTCACGAAAATCCAGGATGACCCACCAGTTGAATCATCCATAAAGGGATCCTTCTTGAGCAAATTTCCAGAAAAAAAAACAAAATTGATTGCACTACCCAAATATCGTGCCCTTTTCTTGCTCATCAGATTTATGGATGCACAATGGAGTTGCCATAAAATCACGCGCTTCAATATTGATGGTCACATCCAGCCCGGGGTTCAACTTTAAAACAGTCTGAAATAAAGGTTAAAAAAATATGATTATCGGCGAATTAAGTTCTTACTTGCTTACATCAAGCGTGTTACGATGCTTCGGTGTTCAATCCACTCTACACAACTTTACCTCTCGATTTCTGTTGATACACTTAAAGACTCTTGTTTGACTAGTTTGGGAGTTTGAAAGATACGTAGATATCCAATATCCTCGTTTTCGGATATCAATCAGTATAAAGCAGATTTCAGCCATTTGAATTTTCGGACATAAATACAAAAGAGAAACCGGATATAAAAGGCGACACAGATGGGAGACTACTTTCATACACGAACCTCCAGATGAGTCGGTTGGAGCTAGAGATATCCTAAGTGGCCAGTCGATTCTGTCGAAATACTGAGATGGAAACCGCGACCAGTGGTAGACCTCACACAGCACAGTTCAACCGAGTTAAATGCAGATACTCGGCGGCTGAAAATAGCTATATTGATGTTAGACTCTCAATAGTCTGCTCAATGGGAAAAAAACTGGATGTCAGTGTAACTCACTCAGACCTGTGTACTGTTCCGAGTGCAGCGTGTACCATGGAAAACAAAGCCCCCTGGTCACAGGACTAGTGGTAAACTCAGCAGAAGGAGACGAAGATAAAAGTTTCGTCACAGAATATGCTAAGGATGAGGAAGATTCAAAAGAATCCATCTCCCACCATGATTTATTTGATACTTTTAGGCCACATAAACATTCGACCATTTCGCATATCTCCAGATTAAGCTGTTGACAAGCACGACGAACGTGTTTAATTGCCATCAAGTCTTGTAAACTGGACAATAATCAGCGATGACAAACATAGTGATATGTACGTTCCTAGGTTGAACTATGCTTAAGCCGGTTCAGAAGAGGCCCATGATGTGGAGGAACAGTCTATCAGCAGTACGTAGGAGTCAACCGCCCAATGTGACGGTTGAGCAGTGCACCTGGTTGGATAGAAAACAGTTCCATTGTTGTCTTCTTTCCTTTGGATTGGTCCAACAGTGTGCAAGTCGGAAACCAGTTTATCTTCTGTTCTGCCTGAGTGGTAGTAGATCCTCCTGTGTGATTTTCGTGAAGATTTTAAGATTCGAAACCTCAGGAAACAAATGACCCGATATTTCATCGAAGGCTGCGTTCCTTGGGGAGCATTTTCATTAGATACATTTTCTTAGATAAAGTACAGCATAGTTTTCTTGACTTTGGAAATTACGGTTGATAACAATAACTGGTTGCAGTGTGCAAATGTTGAAAAACGTAGACTATGTCATCTAATTCCACTTAACTTGAAGCTAGTACTTTAGCCATAAACTAAATACACAACGACAATGGAGTTGCCATAAAATCACGCGCTTCAATATTGATGGTCACATCCAGCCCGGGGTTCAACTTTAAAACAGTCTGAAATAAAGGTTAAAAAAATATGATTATCGGCGAATTAAGTTCTTACTTGCTTACATCAAGCGTGTTACGATGCTTCGGTGTTCAATCCACTCTACACAACTTTACCTCTCGATTTCTGTTGATACACTTAAAGACTCTTGTTTGACTAGTTTGGGAGTTTGAAAGATACGTAGATATCCAATATCCTCGTTTTCGGATATCAATCAGTATAAAGCAGATTTCAGCCATTTGAATTTTCGGACATAAATACAAAAGAGAAACCGGATACAAAAGGCGACACAGATGGGAGACTACTTTCATACACGAACCTCCAGATGAGTCGGTTGGAGCTAGAGATATCCTAAGCGGCTGTCGAAGAGTTTTCAGCAACCTTGTGAGTAGTTTACTTCATGAAAATATACTGCACTATCTAGAATATCGTGCCATTTGAAACGAGGCGGCCTGTGCGCAGCACATTCAGTTGTAGAATATCACAACCGAGAGATTCACTTGAGTCTCTCATGAAGACCAAATTAAATACAAAACACTTTGCGACCGGCTTCTCCACTGTTCGCAACAGTTTGCCCTCAAAACATGTGGACCGATTTTTTTCGGGTAAACAGTGCAGTAAACCTGGATTAGTGTAGTAGAAGGATGGGACATAAGCAGCGGAATACCGGAAACTTTACATGTTCTAAGAGAAATTAAAGTACTGTTCTTTGGGAGAGATTATTGCTAAGGCAGAGAGTTGTTCACAGTCCACAGAACATCAAATATTCCGATTCTTTCTCAGGAAATCGACTAAATCGATATTTTTGAACCTACTCTGTAGAATACGAAGGTTGTGTTTTCTCGCGAATTAAAAAACCTGTCTGAATCAAACATACATCCCTATTTCGACTATCGCGTTACCGTTTAACAGAAGAGTAATTGATCAAATGCAGTGTAGATCACATTTCAACACCAACACACTGTTGACGGTTTCAAAAAACTCCGTTCTCGTTCGGATCAGACATGCACACGAAACAAGTACGCTCAAAGTGGGAACGATCACATTAAGCTATATGCAAATCGCGATAGAATCGCTTTGGCTATTGGGTGACTGATCAGTTGAGTGCGATTTCGAAAAAAAAACATTTCTAAGCTTGCTCTATACGGATGTAAATGCACTGGGAAAAAACAGACTGCTCACGACAAAATACAGAACCTGATTATGGAACGACGTAACAGTGGCGGTAGCCAGACTGCTATCGTCTAACCTCATTGCTATCGAGTGACGCAGAGAAAAACAAACAAGCCTTTCTACCAAACACATGAGCGTTGCCGACAGTTCGCTGTTGATCACATTCAGAAATAGCAGATCCCGTGAAATATCAGCACAGCACAAACTCGCCCAAACAACGCAGTTATGATATCAGCTGGATCGGTGATGAAACGTTTGCAGTCAAATTGCCCTGCTCAACGAACAGACCAATGACTATCGAGGCCACCTAATCTACCACAAATCTCCTCAATGGCATATTGTGGTATTCCATTTAATCGCGTGGGATAGTCGGAGCTCGTGATGCACATACTGCGCTGTTTTCGAACCCAATCGAAATAGCAAGACACCGAGACCCAGTGATACAGATCACTGTCACTTTTAAACCTAGCAAAGATGGATCCTTGGGGCACCGAACAATAAGCCCTTGCCGGAATTCAGGCTTCGACGCACAGGCAGCTGTTGGTAATTGTTAGCCTTAGGACGGCAAGTGCCGTTTTGTTTCGGAGAAATGTCCATGAGCTCGAAAGTATCGAAAATAACGAGACCGTCCAGTGAAAAATAAGCGCAGTATTTAAGGGTGCAACGGCAAATAGATGGTAGCGTGAGCCTAAACGTGGTGGAACCGAGGAACATGAGTGATCGAGGCAATTATTCTGGCCTACAAAGTGAAACCGCCATTGTTCACTCAACCAGTCGAAAACTAAGATCACACTAGCTTGAACTACATAAACTGATCGACGAGCAGCGGCCTGAACGTCCTGTTCGCATTCGCCATCCCCACAACAATGGTAGCGGAGTCCATGACCACAGCTACAGCATAGTGGCTAACTTTTTGCGAAGAACAGCAAAATGTGTCCGGGTTACGTCATCCAACGATAACTGGGTGCCAAACAATGTTGCTGTTTGATCTGCCCTACTTTATGAATCAGAGATGTGGCATCTTCAGGTGAATCTTCGAAGTCGCCGTTTTTGACCATCACTTTTTTCAAGGCTTAGCATGGATCTGATGGGAACATCAGAGAAGTAATGCTCATGTATCCCAGGTTTCCAAAATAGGCAACTCTGCCTCGATAAGACAGCTTGCCACACTGTGTAGGTTACGCCGTACTTATTAGTCCAAAATACCGTTCACCTTGATGAGCCCCCTCCGCCCAACCAAGCCTGACTTGATAACGAGGCATGAAAACCATCGGTCAACTCAATGGCTGTGGTAACGGCCGTATCCCTGACTGGAGACCCCGAAATAAGACAAATGATTGGAGGCTCTAGCGTGTGACTGTACCACGCAATCAATCGCGACTCTGCATTAAATCACCTTCACTGCTTAGCTCCGTTTCTCCCCGTCATATTGGACAAACAAAATAAATTAACCTTAGTCAACTGAATCACCGACTTTAAAACCTGGTTCTTACTTGGTTAATCTAATTAACCCGGGGAAACAGCACACTGAACCGCAGTAGTCCGATACATTGATTTCCGCTATGAAATAAAACTGTCAGATATCGAGATTCCTCAATTCCAAACCACTCCATGTTATAACCATTTGCATAAATGCTACCACTGAATCCATTAAAAGCGGAATGCACAAAAGAGGAATGTCCAGAAACAGGTAGAATGTTTGAATACTGTCATCCTAGCTCTACCCATGAACAGAAACAGCGCTGTTGCCAACGTAGGATCCCCGGCGTGCGAAGAAAAAGGCCCTACTAACAAATCCGGACAAGGATGTCAGCCCACCATACTGAATGTGATTGTTCAGCTGAAGCTGCAACACCCTCTCGGTGCCTAGCTAACACACCGCCCGAAGAAAACATGAGGGTTAGGATACTGCCAGGTTGCGCAATCTTAGACAGCGGTCCATCATACTAGCCCGCCACGAACGTCCGAGATACCTACATCTGCACCACTCCATCACATAATCAGGACAGGAACCTAAGCCTGCTACTAGCTTACTCCCACCGAGCATTATCGCAAGATAAACCATGACCATAGATACTCCACCAATTATCACCGATGAAAACAGTGTATAGTAACTTTTGCGCCCAATATTAGGTAGGAACTACGAAACAGTTGCATAAAACAAAATAAATTGTCGAATTGTGTGGAAAAGTCTGAATGAGTGTGGTCCAGATATGACAGGCACCGTAAACGGGAGACAAGCAGGGCAAAGGACACTGGATACATAACGGCCAGTCTCTAGTGAATGAGCATGAAAAAATCTCCGAATGAATAAGATATGGACAATTCGGAAGGTCAACTGGAATCAAAAAAGATGGGCGCTAGGCAAAATAAAACATCATAAGAAAAGTGTGACCGTGTGTAGAAGGGAAAGATGGGCTGGACAGAACGGTAACTATACAGAAACTAGTTGTAAAAATAAGCCTTCAAATGAATGTAAAGTAAGTGTCGTGAAGTAATGACCAACACAACTATGAAGGTTGGAAAGTAGAACATACGTTTGCAACATTTCACTGAGATCACATAACAGCGCTGGCGCAAGAAGACGTTGAATTGTCAGACCTTAGTGTCACCCAGTTGCATCTGCTGTATGGTAAGAAAGGCAGCCGCCTCCCACAAAAATTGCACGACCTTAGGCTATCCACATGGACAACGAAACGCATAATACTGCGAACGAAAACGGAATCGACAGATGAAAGAAAAGTCGGAGATAGAGAAAAGGAAGCGTGAAGAAATGAAAACAGGTAGATATAACGAATAGGCTTGGGATTAGTAGATTATGAGATTAGATCTGGATGAAGATTGTGCGCTTTCATCGAATACAAATGTACAACTGTACAACGTCCCAGATTGTCCATTCGATAGGGTGAGCAGTGTCTAGTGCTTGTATACTAGATTCAGTGGCGATTCGCCGACACAGAAGAATCACTCCTCCGAAGGTATAAGGGCTTTGATTATGATGCTGAACGTTGTGCTCTCGCGCAGAAGCGTAGTTCACGGGGCCACTCCACATGTTTTAACCGTGGCTACAGGTGTAGGGATTTCATAACCAAATCTGCAATAGGGCGAAACTGGAGAGCAGAACCGCGGATTCGCTTCACTCGAACTCCGCGTAAATGCAACCGAGGTAACTGACAAACTTCCATCTCCCAGTGAACAGGATCGTCTCGGAGACCACAGTGGTGGGGTATACTGAACACTTGTCCCGGAGGAAGACCGTCCAAATTCGTAGCCGCTGTGGCGTTGGTGGCAGAACTAACTTCCTTTAGTGACCCACGATCGGCTGCCCAGGAGCATCGCAGTAGATATGGCAAATGTGGGTCATAAGCGTAACGGCATCCGGGAGTTACTTCCAGAGCTGCAATGATTTCCTTCAGAACATCGTTTGCGGATTTGGTACTGGTTGTATGTACACTCCACGGAAAACGAACTTCGCGTGGACCCGTTAGCACACCAGAGTTGGAAGCACGACTATCTGTTGGCCTGCTAGAAGAGGAAAGGCAAAAAGTGACGTCCCTCAGTTATTTGTAATAAGAATTGATGAGAGGACCAATTTCAATTTCTCTTAGATGTTAAGGTGCTATTCAGTCTAAACATCCTAAACTCACTGATCTTTCCTGGAAACCGTCATTTCCTGTCCGGAGGCCATCCGCCCCTAATAACATCCGCTCCTAATAACAGCACGTCAGTTGGACAAATATGTCACGTGCCAGCTAAGGACTAAACGAGGGTTACTAGCCCGCCACGAACGTCCGAGATACCTACATCTGCACCACTCCATCACATAATCAGGACAGGAACCTAAGCCTGCTACTAGCTTACTCCCACCGAGCACTATCGCACGATAAACCAGGACCATAGATACTCCACCAATTATCACCGATGAAGACAGTGTATAGTGACTTTTGCGCCCAATATTAGGTAGGAACTACGAAACAGTTGCATAAAACAAAATAAATTGTCGAGTTGTGTGGAAAAGTCTGAATGAGTGTGGTCCAGATATGACAGGCACCGTAAACGGGAGACAAGCAGGGCAAAGGACACTGGATACATAACGGCCAGTCTCTAGTGAATGAGCATGAAAAAATCTCCGAATGAATAAGATATGGACAATTCGGAAGGTCAACTGGAATCAAAAAAGATGGGCGCTAGGCAAAATAAAACATCATAAGAAAAGTGTGATCGTGTGTAGAAGGGAAAGATGGGCTGGACAGAACGGTAACTATACAGAAACTAGTTGTAAAAATAAGCCTTCAAATGAATGTAAAGTAAGTGTCGTGAAGTAATGACCAACACAACTATGAAGGTTGGAAAGTAGAACATACGTTTGCAACATTTCACTGAGATCACATAACAGCGCTGGCGCAAGAAGACGTTGAATTGTCAGACCTTAGTGTCACCCATTTGCATCTGCTGTATGGTAAGAAAGGCAGCCGCCTCCCACAAAAATTGCACGACCTTAGGCTATCCACATGGACAACGAAACGCATAATACTGCGAACGAAAACGGAATCGACAGATGAAAGAAAAGTCGGAGATAGAGAAAAGGAAGCGTGAAGAAATGAAAACAGGTAGATATAACGAATAGGCTTGGGATTAGTAGATTATGAGATTAGATCTGGATGAAGATTGTGCGCTTTCATCGAATACAAATGTACAACTGTACAACGTCCCAGATTGTCCATTCGATAGAGTGAGCAGTGTCTAGTGCTTGTATACTAGATTCAGTGGCGATTCGCCGACACAGAAGAATCACTCCTCCGAAGGTATAAGGGCTTTGATTATGATGCTGAACGTTGTGCTCTCGCGCAGAAGCGTAGTTCACGGGGCCACTCCACATGTTTTAACCGTGGCTACAGGTGTAGGGATTTCATAACCAAATCTGCAATAGGGCGAAACTGGAGAGCAGAACCGCGGATTCGCTTCACTCGAACTCCGCGTAAATGCAACCGAGGTAACTGACAAACTTCCATCTCCCAGTGAACAGGATCGTCTCGGAGACCACAGTGGTGGGGTATACTGAACACTTGTCCCGGAGGAAGACCGTCCAAATTCGTAGCCGCTGTGGCGTTGGTGGCAGAACTAACTTCCTTTAGTGACCCACGATCGGCTGCCCAGGAGCATCGCAGTAGATATGGCAAATGTGGGTCATAAGCGTAACGGCATCCGGGAGTTACTTCCAGAGCTGCAATGATTTCCTTCAGAACATCGTTTGCGGATTTGGTACTGGTTGTATGTACACTCCACGGAAAACGAACTTCGCGTGGACCCGTTAGCACACCAGAGTTGGAAGCACGACTATCTGTTGGCCTGCTAGAAGAGGAAAGGCAAAAAGTGACGTCCCTCAGTTATTTGTAATAAGAATTGATGAGAGGACCAATTTCAATTTCTCTTAGATGTTAAGGTGCTATTCAGTCTAAACATCCTAAACTCACTGATCTTTCCTGGAAACCGTCATTTCCTGTCCGGAGGCCATCCGCCCCTAATAACATCCGCTCCTAATAACAGCACGTCAGTTGGACAAATATGTCACGTGCCAGCTAAGGACTAAACGAGGGTATGCCCTGATTAGTCAGAATGCCAGCCAATCTGGAACGAGCATCTTTGGTTCTACGCTTCTCGCCCCCTCACGGGGATTCTAGCACGAACTTGTGGGACATTCTTCACCTTATAAGATTCTAGCACGAACTTGTGGGACATTCTGTGATCACCTTATAAATACAGTTGTAATAATGTTCTTTTGTCTTTATAGAAGGCTGTCTGTAGTTACCGTGCCTTTTGATACACCATAGTGGGCGGAGCAGGAAGCCAAGGACCGACACAGAGTTGCTCGACTGTTCAGCAAGCCACAGGCACTTCATAACCAGAAATCATCCATCAGCTGATTTGTACTGGTACTGGCGCTAGTGAAAACCATGTTCGCAGACTGGGTAGAAAAAATGAAACAATACAAACTCCACGAAATGATTTTGTCCAATCACGTGCACAACAATGCTTCTTTGGGTTATCAACTGAACCAGATACACTTTATGTGGTGCTCCACAGCAAAGCGACTAAATTAAGATAGGCTATCGTCCGTATTGGGCAGACTACCTACCGCCACCTTGGTTCCACGTCGTCTATCAACTGGTCAACTCCGCACGGCCTTCGCTGTCGTCACACACTCCATGGCTGTTGACTTTGGCCGGGCTCATAGTACTGTTTGCCTGCGCCCTCTGTCTGCGTCACTGCTAGGATCTTTAAGTTCAAAGCTTACACCTTCAGTGCGACAGTTTGAATATTCCCATGGTTGTGGAGTACGCTTGGCTAATACTGAGGGAACAGCAGCTAAGTTTACGCGAGTTCCAGCAGGTGTAACCCACACACCACAAGCTCCTATTCAAAGTAGCTAGCAGAGACAAACACCATTAGTGCCTTAATCGAAATGACGTCGACGCAATAAAGTATTCACCTACTGTACGACCCTTGATATAAATAATATGAGATAGCAACAACATAAAACACATCAAGACGCTGGACATCCGGTGAAACAAAGACCAGGGGGTCTAACAACACTATGAGGAGAGTTTTGTGGATATTTCGACATTAGGGAGACCTTTTTTAGCATGTTTCATAAATGCCCAGCAATAAGTCACCCCAACCAACATTATAAGCAAAAAAGCCAACACTGAAATCAGTGGACTGAACGAAGGATAGCGATTTATGAGTCTCTATCAATGCATGCTTAAAATTTCCACAAACCACAGCCCACGAATCGTTCATCTTCAGAATCAACTTAAAAAAATACTTTAGCACAGCACATAAGTTGGTCCAACATGGCGAGGGCAAACTTAAAATTTTGTGCTAGGGAACTGAGTTGGGATACCAAGATAAATGACACGGGAAATTTGGCGTTTCACCTGTCGGGATGAATTGATGCGAAACACTACGAAATCAGGCAGTTTTAAAGAGTTAAACAGAGCACAGTATCTTGCCAAATAAAGTCAAAGATCTGCAGGAATATGAGAACCAAATGGACGTTGCTAATTGTCAACCCGAGAGGATAATTTGTTAATGACGAAACAATAAGTTACTGCTAACTATGTTATACCATAACTGGACACTGTGCCACCATAAGGGATTTATCACGAACAAATAGATTAGCACTAACCACAGAGGACATTAAGCGTATAATCACAAGTCAACGAGTTCTGAGGACAGCACAATTCCGTTAGTAGGAGTAAACGGACACAGGTCATCCACATTCAGGGACTGTGATCCGCAGATCCATTGAACCGATCTAAGATGCAAGTAGAAGTGTTCTACAGGATAACACAATAACGTCTATCTGAATATGAGGCGGAGGTCGGATTCGAACCGCGGACCTTCAGGTTAGTAATCCGCGCTCTAACCACTTCGGCCATCTCGCCCCATCTTGAATATGAGAACACGACCATTCAAATCGGCACTGTGGCTAATTCGGTGTCGACAAGAGACTGGGCTGAAATTCATCTGAATCTTTTATTTGTAATACTATCTAACCGAATGTGCTAAAAAAAAATAATCGTTCAGCTGAAGCACCCTTTTAGTGCCTAGCTGCCATGTCACCCGAGGGAAACACGAGGGCGAGGACACTGCCAAGTTGCCCAAGCACGAACAGGGGAAGTCGAAAGGCAGATGTCGGGTTCGAATTACAGGTCAGTAAATTTGCGCTCCAACCACTGAGCCATCTTGCCCTCAACCGAATGTGTTGCACAAACACTGCACCATAATCCAGTTGGCGCGATATTCAAGATATCGGCGTAAGTTTCAATACCACTCATAACGTCACTAGAAACACTGGACAGTTCGTGGCTAGTTTTTTTTTACTTCTGGAGGATAATCAGGTAGGCCTAGTCCTCGAGTTCACGTCAAACTTATTTCTTGTCTGAACACCAACTCACGATGTGATACGTTTGCAGATTACGTCGAAAGACCGAGCTACAATTCATTTATGAAGTTTCTCGTCCCGATTGAAGCATAGGGCGGCCCTTGTGCAGCGTTTCAGTTGAAAAATATCACAAACGAGAGATTTCGAAGAATTTTACCTCTTGGTTCCCAAAACGCCCATCGCCAATGCCAAACTGGCCCCCAGTGGATGTGAAAAAGCCAAACATTCTGCTTTCAATACAGCGACCATTAGCTGCGCTGCATAGAGATTTCAGAGTGAATCGGAAAGTATGGGAAGACGCACATTTCCACTCGACACCCCGCTTAACAAGGCTCACATGTTAAATGAAAGCAGGCATTGCCAGCTCATTAACAAAAAGTAAGAAGTAGGGTCCAAAGCAAACGAAAACTGACACAAGAGTATCACCCTGCCTTCATTGTGGTGCACCGAAATCCGAATAAAGGCCCAAAAAAGTGAGTAGTACTGGCCTCAGCCAGCAAATAGTCCTATTCAGTCTTCCAGTGAAATTATGTCCAGCTATGTTGCTAAGTGTGGGAAGATCAGGTATTTCGGCCGACAATCCAAAGACATCGTCGCAATTAGTGAAACAAAGAAAAAGAAACCGTTCAGCTGTAGCACCCTTCCGATGCCTAGCTGCCATGCCACCCGAAGGAAGCACGAGGGCTGGGATACTGCCAGGTTGCCCAAGCCTAGACAGGGGAAGTCGGGTGGCGGAGGTCGGAATCGAAACACGGACCTTCCGGTCAGTAAATTCGCGCTCTAACCACTTGGGCCATCTCGTCGTAATTAGTGACGAAACCCTCATTTAGTTGTCACATGAAGACGACTCGAATAGGTTCGCGAAAAATGGTCTCTTCCGGAGGAAGATCATAACCATTAAAAAACGCTTCAACGGACCAAACTGAAGTGAAAAACCTTACGAGTTAACAATATTTGTGACTCGAGTGAGTTTATTGTATCTTCATTAGGTGAAAGTTGATATGTTTGCCGAAATTGGCAAACGGTTTGCATGCCTGCAACCAAACAACCTACCCTATGAGCAGTGTGTTCCATCAAGCAAACACAGTACGACACCTCCAACCTCGTAAGAGCAGCACAGTCATTTGAAGAACATGATGAGCTACTCGGCTAGAATTCAGTTGAGTCTCCCGTCAACACTAAATTGATTTTCAAAGGAGTGTATTTATCCAACGTAAAAACGCTTGTCTATAATTTGATACATGACAGTAATTCTTTGAATCGTGAATGAGTTCATGTTGTTCATATGGCTATGAAAAAACACCGTGCAGAGAACGAGCAACAATTGATGGGAACGCTAACAGTCACCAGCAGCAAAAATACATAGGAACAACATTATTGAGCGAAATGCACCTGGAAGGTCTGCAACACTTCGTGATCGATCCAGGAAAAAAAAGCAGATCGGCATAATCAGTAAGCGATGATAGAAGCGGTAACAAACTTTGTATGAACAAAACGAAGTTTCAATCTGAGTGAGTAGAAAGAACGTGTTCTAGGGTAGACGTGCGATCAGATGAAGAAAAACCTCAACCACACGATCAACTTCATCTTTAGTTATTCACATTGTAAGTTTAGAGGGTTCGGACACATGACACTTTAGGCTGTAACCTCTAGAACTGTCTGTTCGCCGACCAGTTGGTGAAGCGGGTGCATGAGTTTAGATGTCAATTTTGGTCTAATTCCGACGACCATCTGACTACCGTGGTCGTTCAAGCCCTACAAGAGACCTAACAATTACCAAGCCAGGGGCCTGGGATTTCACCAAATGCCATCGCTGGTGGTTTCCAATAGGGTTAAAACGGCAATATAGTGCTTCCCGGCTTTCCAGCATAGAGTGGCTTCAATTAAAGGACGAAGTCCCCACCGAAAACATTCCATTCCATTTCTTTCTCCTGTTATCCGACACCTCACATTTCACTGGGCTCAAAATCACTCACTTTAACCCGGTCTTCTCCGAAATACTCCCAGGAACATGAACCAGTAGCTGCCCTATAACGTCACGCCAAGTTCTAATGACGGTTTGACAGACAGGTCTACTGGGATGCGCTGATTGCTGATAGGAGCACACCATCACATAGACAAGCTGTATGCCATGAGATAATCGGACACGAAATCGTCAAAAACGCAAACACAACACCCTGTGGCGAAGCCGTTACAGACTGCGATAAGGAGCCCAATCGAACCGCATTACCAGGTGTGTATTGAAGTTTTGCCATTCTAGATACCGAAGAGTAGCTTTTTACTGACCAGTGTTGAGTGGCATTCAAAATGATAACGGTTTCGATCAGCTCGTGGCGATAGAAAAAATTACGAAACATGAGGTGATAGGCTAATCTATAGTCTAATCTATCACATCTGGAAA